AGTTTTTGAAAAAAGAAAGGCAATCATTTTTCTCCACGATACAATATTGCGGAAATAATTAGAATCAGCATTCTCCCCAGAGCATTCGAAACCAAAAGACTTATAATTTTTTAATTAAGCTCAATTTGCACCTGAAGGCCTTGTCTCTGTCATTCTTTAAGCCAGGGAAAAGGAAGATGAAATGCCTGTGTGTTGTTTGCACACACATGACTGTAAGATATGCAAAATTTTCATGACCTAATATGGCTGACTAAATGAACTGAGAATACCTGTGTACACATATATAAATATCTTCAGAATATTTTAAACCATGTCATTCTCAGTTTTTCATACAGATTATATCCTGTTTCAGATAAAAAGATCTTTGATCATATTTTTGTTGTCTAGAATTTTGTAGTATCAAATATCTTTAACAATTATCATAAGGTCAAAACTTCCAAGTCTTAATGTTGAAAATATTTTGGGGTGTGGTGATTGCTGTAATTAGTATTGACCTACAGAGTTATTTCTTGGTTTTTAACTTTGAAACCTAGACATCTGGTTACTTACACTGCCAAAAACTTATTTTCATTTCCTTGAAAGGAGGTGCACAGTACGTCAGTCTCTGGTCTCACCAACCGAGGCAAGTTAGGGCTGTCGTCTTTGTGTTGCAAGAAGCATTCATTTCTCTCAGGTTCTTGTTTGTCACAGCAGTCAGCCATTTCACCATAGTTATCACGAAGACTTGGAATGGAACATAACTTATCTCCAAAAAGAGTATGCTAAATGGAAGACAGCAGGCTTCAAATTACTAGGACATACCTTATCTTCTTTATAGTCTAAAAACACTAAAAAAATTAATATACTGGTAAAGGTTGACTAGAAAATCATATACATTGCATATACATGAAGATATGATGTATAAATGTATTGGACCATCACTTGGCATCCCACAAATATATACAATTTTTTTTCTTTATATGTATAAATTAAAAGAAATTTTAATAAGAAGAAATTTTAATGGATAAATGTTTCTAAAACCCACCAAGTACAAGAAAATCTTAAATTCACCCCCAGGTTTAGTGTTCCCTAACTTGACTACCTCTCTGCAATTTTCATAATAATCAGCTGACACAGTGTGATTTATGATGAATAAAACTGAAGTGTGAAAAAACAGCAACTGCTTTAAGAAATATTTTCTTATTCTTCTTTCCATCTGACTAACCCTATGGGAGCAGGTGAATTCATGTTAGGGAGCAAAGGGCTCAATTTCTCATTTGACCTGCCCCTATTTGAGAAACCCAGCTTTTCAGTACATGCCATTTAAAAATGAAGAGGAATGCAATGTGCTATACATTGTTACTGCATTAAAATATAGATTCCTTTTTATTGAGAAATATTTAACTCAAAGTAATTCATTCATTAAATAAGTCCTTCATTTTTATTATTTAAGTCATTATAACCCCCACAGAAAATATACTTCTCTTGAGGGAATGTATTAATTGCTCAAAAATGCATTTTTAAAATTCATATGCAGAGCCATATTATTGTGTAGAGTTAAAATTTTGACCCTGAAATAAGAAAGAGGAACAGTCAGAGAGAAATAAAGGAAAAGGTCAGGGATAAAAAAATAGGTGAACATGGTTGATATACTGTTTATAAGAATGAGTATAGAATTTTTAAACCTGTTGAAACCACCATAAGAAGGGGACTAAGGTAGAAAGAGGAAAAATAGAAGAGATGAACCAATTCGGGTTATAATACAATTTATACACGGAAATGTCACAAGGAAACTCCCTGTGTAGCTATTTTAAATGAAATTATATTTTTTTTATTTACAAAATCAGAGAACAGGAGGACAGAACAGGTCCTGTTTAGGGAGTTGGTACCAATGGGAAGGGGGGAGGACTTGGGGAAAGTGCAAATCCTGTGTACACATGTTTGTAAATAGAATAAAGAGACCTCTTGAAACTATTCCAGGAATGGGGAAAGGGGAGGATAAAGGGGATAGATATGGACATTCTTGAATAATATTTTTGAATATGAAATAAATACATAAATAAAAAGTATTTAAAATATTTTTTAAATGTCCTTGCCAACAGATTCACTGGTGAGAGAAACATAGGCCTCATGTTTTGAAGATCTATTAGTAAATACCAAAAGTTCAAGTTCTTCTAAATGACTGAGTACTCAGCTTTTTTATTGTGTGTAAAAATTTTAATAAGCCTAATGGAAAATAAAAAGCTATACTATCATATCATACAGTAACAAAATGATCAGAAATCAGTTGGTGCTTTCTGAAGGTAAAAACCATGCTATTATCTTAAAAAGGTATTAGCACTCTTAGTTCACTGTACCATTATCCATAGTAGTTAAGATGTGTAAACCACCCAAAGGTCCCTTGTAAGATGAATGGATAAAGAAAATGTGGACAAATACTAATGAACATTAAAAAGAAGAAAACTCTGCCACTGGCACCAATATGGGTGATCTTAAAGGACATTATGCTAAGTGCAATAAGTCAGGCCCAGAAAGATGAATACTGCAGGATTCTGTTTGTACCAGGCATCTAAAGGAGTCAAATTTACAGGATCAAAGAGTAGAATGATGGCTACCAGGGGCCAGGAAGAGGAGGAAAGAGGGAGTTACAATCAACCGGCATAAACTTTCAACTAAGTCAGATAAATAAATTTTACATATCAAATGTATCATATTGTACCTAGCATCAATAATGTGTTATAAAAATTTAAGAGAGTTGGTCTAATACCAAGTGTTCTTACTTGTAACATTAAAAATAATAACAAATGCATAAAATTATGCTATCACTGTTGGCCTCTATGAAAAAAATGTCAAATTTCAAAATTTGAAAAAAAATTGCTACAAATGACAAATTGCCATTTAAATACACTATGACTATTGCATGTGGTCTCAATGATTTTAAAATTGTGGGCATAGCTAGAGCATTTCTGTCACAAAAGAAACAATACCTTAGTCTAATAAGCAACTTTGGAGTTGTGCTCACAGATTTGATCAATTAAAAATAATTTTTAAATGACAAAAGAGTTTTCCTATGAAATATTCAGAATTATCTGCAAGATGAGAAAGAAGCCTAAAATCAAAATGTACTGACCAGGTCTTTGTCACAGTTTGCAGCTGACTCATCGGCAACACATGTTTTTGCAAACTCATTTATTTCATTCACTAATTTTACATGTTCTTCAAATGGGCACTTCTGGAAATACTGAGAAAAGGTAACCAGTACTCTGAAACAAAAAACATGGAAATGTGTGGCACAATATGACTTTAAGATAAAACAGGTTGCTGTGCTAGGAAGGAAACCATGTACATGCATATACATTTTATGTATTTCTAATAATTACTCAGAAAGCCTATTCATAACTGGTATTCTGTGGGGCCTAGCCAGGCCAAGAGCCTTCCTAGTCAAAGAGAATATATATTTCTACCGTGTTTAAATGTGTGTTGTGCATGGTATTAGATGCACACACATAGAGCAAATGAACAAACTGTACAATGAATAGATCTAACTATTCAGATTAAGCATTATATATGTCCTTGGAGTTGTTTAATTAAAAAAATCAAAATTCACATACCTTATTTAATCAGGCTACAGGATGGTATTGACCTTTTAAAATACACTATTTTATCATGTCTTTGTAGATGAAAAAATTATTAAGACTTGGGATGTGGCTCAGTAGCAGAGAGCTTGACTAGTATGACTAGTATGTGTGAAGCCCTGGGTTTAATCCCCAGCATTAGAAAAAAAGTAATAAAATGTTCCCAAGAAACTTAGAACTCAGAACTACTTAGTAAGTAAAGAGGAGTTAATAAGGAATCTGATAAAGGAGCCATGTTTTACAGTCCTTTCCACCATTGAATAAAAATTCCAGAATTTCCAGGTTACATGAGAGTTCCAGAGTTTTTCACTACTCAATACAGTAGCCAGTTAGCCACTTATAGGTCTATAAATTTAATTTAAATTAAATACATTTTGAATTTTTTTTCTTCATTTGCACTTGCCACATGTAAAGTACTCAATGGCCACATATGGCCAGTGCCTTCCATATTGCTCAGCACAGATACAGAACATCAATGCACAGAATTCTATGGAACAGCCCTGCTATACCATCTAGACCCTAAAGACTGGGGACTATAAGGACTTAAGAGTAGTTACCAATGTTAACAGAAATACTAACTTTGACTCTTCAATATTTTGACTTACAGGCCTTTGAAATGATGTTCTCCCAGATCATTAAATCGATAAGCAATCTCACTCTTGTCTGGAAAGGGAGAGGAAAAACTACAAGATGTGTTTAACCAATAAAGAAAACAACTGGTTATGTTGTTACCCCTTATATTTCTTTCTAATTAACATAGTTTATTCTGTTGCTTCAGAATATGGGCTCTGATACCTACAGAAAATCTTAAAATTATGGTGAACTATTTCTTCTGCATTGAAAGGTCTGTTCAATCACCACTGAAACTATTTAAAAATGTTAAATATTTACAGTTTTATATTCAAAATTGGATATAAAATGTCTATAAATAGCTACTGACAAGATAATCTGAAATAAAAGTAAATACAAATGCAAGTTCTCTTTATAATATAACAACATAGGTTTTTCAATAAAGCATACTGTAATAGATAGTCCTTTGAGATAGTGATGAATTCACTATCATGTGCAATAGGAAATAATAGTCACTAGATAATTCTCACCATTTTTAACCTAAGGTGTTTGAAACATATTAGTAACATAATCACATAAGTGTTCACAAATATATAATATCATTACATGCTAGAAATAAATGCTTAAGTAAAACTTAATTCTTTAAAGATGCAGGATTTACTGAAGCTCTCTCTTACAAGGAAAATAAAATAAAAGCTGAAAAATTAAAGTCTAGAATTCTTACATGCATCTCGTCGAAAGACACCCCTGGAATAAGCAGAGCTGAAAAGAAAGAGAAGGGAAATAAAAGTCACCCACTTCATTATGCCAAAGGTTTGTGGGGTTGAAAGAAGAGAAAAGCTAGGATGAATGAAGGGAAATTTGCACTAATATACTTCTTTAACTAATAATTGTAGATTATTAACTACACTCAACATGTTTTTCATTGACTCCCCAACTGATTACAAAATCACAATATTCTTTCCAAAAAGTTTGCTTGACTAAATCCCTTGCATACATTTTCCATTTGGAACTATTTTCCCAAAAGATTTTGTCAATTCATTAAAGTTAGATAAAACATCTCATCAAATTTTACTTGAGAGTTTAAATGATTTGTACCTATTATTCAGTTCCATGTTCTTTATCTGCTATTTCCCATTTGAATGTTTTAGATTGTGATGTTCATAAAAATGCAGCCAAACAAATTATTTTTGATGGAAATAAGACACACTAAGAAAGCTATGGTCTAAACTGCATCTATTGCTAATTCCCAGGAAGTTCTTGTCTACAAGTAGTAAAGAATTTACACACACACACACTAAAAAAAACTACAACTCAAACTGTATCTATTAAAAAAATTCACAGATACCTAAGTCTTCTTGTCTTTTTCATTCTTCTGAAATTGCTTTCTCTGAAAAGGTTAATGTTGCATCAATTGCCAAGTAAGAAGAATTCTTAGCAACAATAGCAGATATAATAGATATTTAGAAGTTCTTTGTTTCCATTCCAGGTATCTCTGCCCTACATTGATCCAGGACTTGAGTTAGATTTTGATCCAATGTGAGGAGCTCTTATGGGATTTTCAGTTAAGGTGACATGGGGAACAAAATGGACCCAAATGACAGAGACAATGATCTTCCCACCACAATTTACACAAGAACAGGTGAGTCCTGATTGAACATGTGGTGGTTATGAGAATCCTAGACCTTCCTCACAGGAATCAGATCCTTCTTTTGCACTTTTTTTTTCCTTTTTTCATGTTCTTCTTTAATGCTACTTTAAATTTCAAAACAAATTTAACACTGTAATAAAATCAAAGCAAAACAAAGTCATTTTAAAAAATGTTTAAAAGTATCCCCCACTTACTACACCCGAGGGATCTCTATCTCAGAAGAGCTAACTCTTGGCCAAACTTGGGGGCACATGCCTACATCCCAGCTACTCAGGAGATAGAGATAAAGAAAGATCATGGCTCTAGGTATGGAAAGACATAACTCAAGCCCTGAAAGAAAGCAACTGTCAATCCAGATTAGTCTACCCAGCAAAACTATCCTTCCCAATTGAAAAAGAAATTAAAGCTTCCACAACAAGGAAAAACTAAAGGAATTTGCTACCACCAAGCCAGAACTACAGAAGATACTTAAAGGACATTTACATATAGAAGAAGAAACTAGAATGAGACAGGTAGACTCAAGAAAGAATAAACACTTTGAGCAAGCAGACCAGTAAACAAAGAATAGGTAAAATTAAACAACAGGGAATCAAAAATGACTGGAAACAACAGGGACCTCCCATTACTAACACTGAATGTAAATTCCTCAATGCCCCAATCAAGAGACATAGATAGCAAATTGGATTAAAAAACAAGACCCAACCATATGTTACTTACAAGAGACTCAATTAACTGGAAAAAAAATAGGCTTAGAGTCAAAAGGTGGAAAAAAGTTTTCCAAGCAAATGGACCCCATAAGCAAGAGTAGCTATACTCATATCTGAAAGAGTAGACTTCAAACTAAAATCAATCAGAAGAGACAATGAAGGTCATTTCATAGTAATGAAAGGAACAATTCATCAAGAGGAAATATCAACCCTTAACATGCATGCACCAATCACAGAGGCACCATCTATATTAAGAAAACTCCAGTGGCCCTAAGAGCAGAAATAGACACTAACACAGTGATATTGGAAGACCTGAAACTTCAGAAGTACTCCACACATTAGACCAAATAAACATGGCTGACATCTACAGAGTATTTCACCCAACAACTAGGCAATACACATTCTTTTCTGCAGTTCATGGAACTTTCTCCAAAATAGATCATACTTTAGGACACAAAGCAAGTCTCAACAAATTCAAGAAAATTGAAATAACCCCCTGCATCATATCAGATCTCAACAGAATGAAACTAGACCTCAACAACAATAGAAACCCCAGAAAGTACTCAAACACATGGAAACTGAACAACACACTGCTAAAAATAAAGAAAATGGATGACCAAAGTCATAAGGGGGAATTCAAAAACTTCCTAGAATCTAATAAAACATACCAGAATCTGTGGGACACAGTAAAGGCCATGCTAAGGGGAAAGTTCATAGCTATAAGTGCCTACATTAAAAAAACAGAGACTGCTTGAAGAAATAATCTAATCATGCACCTTAAATTCTTAGAAAAACAAGAACAAACCAAACCCAAAAGCAGTAGACAGAGAGAAATTACAAAGATCAGGGCAGAGATTAATGTAATTGAAACCAAACAAACTATACAAAGAATCAATTAAACAAAAAGTTGCTTCTTTGAAAAAACTAACAAGATCAACAAATCCTTAGCCAACATGACAAAATGGAAGAGGGAGAAGACCCAAATTAATAAAATCAAAGATGCAAAAGGGGACATAACTACAAATGTCAATGAAATCATTAGAGAGTACTTTGAAAACTCATATTCAAGTAAACTGGAAAATCTAGACAAAATGGATAAATTCCTAGACACATGCAACCAATCAAAATTGAACCATGAAGACATTAACCACCTATATAGTGCTATTACATGCAATGAAATTGAAACAGTAATAAAGAGTCTCCCTATAAAAAAGAGCTCAGGACCTGATGGATTCATGGCTGAATTGTACCATGTACCTTTAAATAAGAGCTAACACTAATACTTCTCAAACTTTTGCAGGAACTAGAAAGAGAAAGAACACTGCCAAACTTATTTTATGAAGCCATCATTACACTCATTCCAAAACCCAATAAAGACATAACCAGAAAAGAGAATTATAGAACAATATCTATAATGAATATAGATACAAGATTCTGAACAAAACACTGGCAAACAGAATTCAACAACACATCAAAAAGATCATACACCATTACCAAGTAGGTTTCATTCCAGGGATGCAAGGATGGTTCAACACATGTAAATCCATAAATGTAATACAGTACATGAACATATGCAAGGACAAAAACCATATAATCTTCTCAATAGATTCAGAAAAAGCCTTTGACAAAATCCAACACCCTTTCATGATAAAAGCTCTGAAGAAACTAAGAATAGAAAGAACATTCCCCAACATAAGGCTATATATGATGAACCTAGAGCCAACATCATATTAAATGGAGAACAACTGAAACTGTTCTCCTTAAAGTCAGGAATGAGACAGGGCTGTCCACCCTCTCCACTCCTATTCAATATAGTTTTGGAATTCCTAGCCAGAGCAATAAGACAAAAGAAAGAAATAAAAGGGATTCAAATAGAGAAAGAAGAAGTCAAACACTCCCCATTTGCAGATGACATGATCCTATACGTAAGAGACCCCAAAACCTCTACCAAAAAAAACCACTAGAAATCATAAAATCTTTCAGCAAAGTAGCAGGATACAAAATTAACATACAAAAATCAGTAGCTTTCCTATATACCAACAACACACAGACTGAGAAAGAAATCAGGGAAGCAAACCCATTTACAATAGCCCCAAAAACAATAAAGTACCTTGGAATAAGTTTAATGAAAGAAACCAAAGACCTTTTTTAATGAAAGCTATAAACCACTGAAGAGAGAACATTTGAAGCACTTCCAAGAAGAATGGAGAAGGACCATGCCACGCCCAATGGATTAGAGTCGAAATCAACATCGTGAAATAGCCATACTAACCAGAAATCCCAATCTACATGTTTAACACAATCCCTACACAAATTCTCCAATGAACATTCTGCACAGAAATAGAAAAAACATTCATGAAGTACATATGGAAACACAAAAGACCTTGAATAGTCAAAGTAATTCTGAGCAAAAAGTCCAATACTGGAGGCATCACAATACCCGACCTCAAAGTATGCTACAGATGATAGTCTGTAACAATAACCATAACAATAAAAACAGCATGCTATTGGCAAAAAACACACAAGAAGACCAGTGGATCAGAGTAGAACATCCAGACACAATCCCATGCATCTATAGCCTGCTGATCTTTGACAAAAGAGTCCAAAAAACACGATGGAGAAAAGACAGCCTCTTCAACAAATGCTGCTGGGAAAATTGTATATCCACATGCAGAAGACTAAAACTAGACTCCTGTCTTTCACCCTATACCAAAATCAATTTAAAGTGGATCAAAGACATTATTATAAGGCCAGAAGCTTTCAAACAACTACAGGAAGTAGTAGAAAATCCACTTATAACAGATAGGTTAAGGAAAAACTTACTAAACGAACTCAAAAAGGCTCAGCATCTAAGAGAAACAATGAACAAATGGGTATTGCATCAAACTAAAGAGCTTTCTGCAAACAGCAAAGGAAGCAATCACTCAGACTCAAGAGACAGGCCCACATAATGAAGAGAAAATCTTTGCTAGCTAACTATCTGAACAAAGGTCTAAATATAAAAAGAATCTAACAACGGAACTCAAAAAAACTCAGCTCCCAAAGAAAATCACACCCCAAATGAGAGATGGATACACGAATTTAACAGGGAATCCTCAAAGGAAGAGGTAAAAATGGCCAGTAAATACACACAGAAGTGTTAAAATTCCCTGGTCATAAAAGAGATGCAAATCTCCCCTTTGATGAGACAACTACAGAACAACATCTGAGGCACCAACTCCAGGACTGGAGATTGAGACAGACACCCAAATTATTAAGACTGAAACTGCATTGCATATAAACTTGGAAGTTTTTTTATTTTTTTTTTCTTTTTATTTTTTTTAATTTTCTATTTTCTATTTTCCATTTTATTTTAATTCATTTTTATATATAGATATTTCTTTCATTTATTTTTTTTTATCTTTGATTTTCAATCCTCTCTCTGTCTCTCTAATGTCTGTTCAGC